TAGCAGAGAGGTGAACCATCTGTGCCTGGGGACCAGGAAGGGTTAGAAAGACCAAGGTGGTGACCCTGTGTGTTTCAGGTTATGTGCACTGGTCCAGAGAGTGTGAGCTCAGCTCCAGCCATCACATGTGCATGTGTGTGTGCATGTCAGAGGTGAAAGGCCAGAAAGTTTTAATTTTAAAATTAAATTCATAAGATAGGCAGACTTTTCAGCTTTTTAATACAGACAGTGATTTATGGTTGCACTTAAAGAACGAGCCAGGAATGGACAAATTCATCACTCACTGTCCTTTTGTGGCAAAGGAGCAGCCAGTGCTTGGGCAGCTGCACGAGGCTTCCAGCAGCAGAGCCTCTGCCATGAGAAGGCAGCAAAGCTCCGTCACCCTCACCCCACTGCAGCAGCTGAGGTCCCAGCGTGCGGTGTCATCTGCTTCTTTTTCTTTTTAAGAAAAAAAAAAGTATTGGCCATCCACCAAATTCCCATTCTCCCCCTCCCTTCTGATAGCCAGCATCGGCTGCTGGAAGGATGATGCAGAGTGCTCTTTGTACACACAGCACGAGGCTCCAAACTTGTCTTCTGTAAATTAAATCATAAGAAACTCACCAACATGAAGATTTTTTGCTTTAATTATTCCCAACTCAAGGGTCCTACGTCCTTCCTGATGATTTCTTACCTCTTGTGTATATTGCACTTAAACTGAGTTGCTTTGATTTTGCCTGCCCTGTGCTTGTAAGACTCCCCCAGAGCCTCAGAACAACAACAGACGCAGTAGCATGTCCTTCATCCCCTGTGTGGCCAGGCCATTAAGTCTTTCTGCCTGGTCTTCCTGAGGACTTCAAACTTTTCCATCTCCTTGTTCAGAGGAGATGTTGTCTAGAATGTATATATTCATCTAGTTACCCCCAAACCTTATGTATTTTATGAGTCCTGACACCAAATAGTGTCAGGCAGGGTGCAGGGCAATGGACGGGCTTCCAAAGATGTTTGGGATTATACAGGAGAAGGTGGCATTTAGAAGGGGACTTGCTCTTTTCTTTCTGAATCCATACCTTATTTTACGACAGTCTAAGTCTGATTAAAAAGCTGCTTTTAACATACAGCTGGTGCCACTTGGTGTCAGTCTGTGACTTTTCAAGCAAGTTTTTGCATCATTTGGGCTCACTGTGGTACTTTATTTTCTCTCCAAGACAAAAAGGCCAATACTTAATGATCTCGTTATGAAGTTTTCCCAGAAAAGCATCAGCATCTGTGGCTGTTGCTGCATTTTGACTGGTTTAGTGTTGTTTCTTTTGTAGAAACATGATCACCCAGATCGTGTACCTGGTCAAAGAAGAGTGAATGCCAAACTTGATGTGGGTTTGGGGTGTGTAGTTATGCAAATAATGGTAGCTTCTGCACCCAAAGTAATGCAACTGCTAAATTATTTGACCTTTCCTTTCTACAAAATTGCATACAGACACATACGGACAAAGTTGAGGATGTGCATAGGAAGAAGAAGGAGGGAATGTGTGAAGCAGTTTAGGATTTTTGACAATACAGTGCTAGCAGATACTGTGTATGACTTCTACTGTCAACAGCTTTGATCCTTCTTTTCATAGCTCTGGTACATTCCCTACAGTGGGAGCTGAGTATAGTATGGTTATCTTGGTTTGAAATACAGAGAATTTTAAAAAATGCTTATTTGGCCTTATCTTCTCAGTGGGACAATAAGTTCAATGCATGAAATGGAAAAAAGAAAGCAGCTTTGTAATATTTCAAGAGCTCCCTTCAAAGGATATAATTTGTCTCTAAAATTTTCTTGCTTAGTAAAAATGCTCCTGAGTTAATATTAGCTTTATTATCTTCTATTATCCAGCCACTCCATAGAGACATTTTCATAGCAAATTTGTATTGCAGTTTATCTGTCTGCAAGTTGTCAGAGAAGATGTTAAGCATTTCCATCTCTAGTACACATGATGTTCTTTCTAGTCTGCCTTATTAGTCTCTGAATAAATATTAACTGAAGTTTTGGGTGGGGTTCTCATTTGCATGCTACAAATTTTTGAAACAGTTGAGTCAAGAATAATATGATACGAAATGTGAAATAAATCAAAATATGAAATGTTGCAAAGCTATTACTTAAAAAAATTATTGCAGTCCAGGTCAGTTTAATAAAATCCTTTAATCTAAAATGCAACTGCTTGTTTAGATTCAGTGTTTTGATCTACGTAGCTATAACTGTCTGACTGTCATCTGTAGAAATCTGCGAAGAGTAATAAATATTTGTGATTATTTGAGAAATGGTTATACTTGGACTGTCAAGTATGAAAAATTTCTAGTTCCCCCTTATTGTGTAGTGCTGAATGTCTTTAAGAAAACTATCTAGAATTTGTTGTGTAGAATATATATACACCAAGCAGTTTAGTTATGGATGCAAATTGTAGAAGCCAAGTATTAAAATGGTCTAAAATATGTTTGTAACTTCAGGGCTGTCCAACAAGGTCGCAAAAAACTTAGTCACGCTTTTTATATGAAAACAGGATTGGAAACATGCTTCCAAGTAACCTCAAAAAAAAACCAAAACAAAACCACAAACTCTTAAGCATTTGGGAAAATATAAATAATACTGAGAAACATTTTATACATGGAATAACAAACACCTGCTAGAACTTGGATGGTGTGGTTTATGGGATGGGAAGGAGAGCTGATAAAACCCGAGAGATTTTGGTCAGCTGAATTGCTGGTCTCTCTCAGTGCCATGGAACTAGGACCGTTAGTGCCACCTATAGTTGGTCTGTCTGGCACTTTTACCTTGAAGACCCTGTTTTCAATGAGTTATGAGCCTGGTGCACACACCTTCTAAACAAATACCATGAAGAAGAACTTGGTGGAGATGAGCTCTGGTTGATGTTGACAGTGCTACTGGATAGACCCAGCTGGTTGCTCAGCAGAGACCCAGCTGATTTTAGCTGGTAGCTGCTTGGACCAGAGATAAGAGGGGTGTGGCAGCAACTTGCGTAATTCTAGCACAGGACAGAAACCAAACCTCCAAACACAATTGTAACTGAAGAATTGAAGGCAGGTGCAAAGTCTTTGTTGATGAAAACCTGAAGAGAAAAAAACAATCTTGCAGGGCATGAGACCAAATTCATAATATTTATCCTCCTCATTCCACTCTAAACTAATTTGGATCATTTTACCCATGTCCAAATGTCATGTTAGCACTCCCAACATAGGTTGGTTGGGAGCTTGGTTACAGTAATGTGCAGAACTAGCAGCAGCTCCAGGCAATGCAGTAGAAATAAATAAAATCCTGCTTTGTAAATGTGTGGGATACTTCTTTGCACACTATTCTTTTTTTATAGTGAGACACAATTTAGTTAATAGGGTTTTTGAGTGACACTGAAGTATTTCCATCCTTCTATTAAAAATACTTTCAGTGCAGGTACCTGTGAATTTGATTGCTCTTTGGTCTTAGTTTGCAGTGCACTACTATATTCAGAAGAAAAACATTAATTAAAAACGTCCGGTGTTTAAACCTGAACTTGCTGCTTGGCCATGAGGCTTGGAAAGGCCCTCAAAGATTATTTTATCCTGCTGTGCCTAAGTAACCAGGAGAAAACACCTCCCCTCTCATTACTGTGGTTTACCTTGAATAACCTTTGCATGTCATGGGTTGATGACTATGGGTTGATCAGCATGTGTGTTTCTGATCAGGATATTCTGTAGTGCACTACACTCAGCTCCCCCCACTTCTCCCTCTGCTGCTGCACTGAAGACATCAACATGAGCAGAGTGTTCTGGACTTAGCTTTCCTCCCTCATTGTTAGTTTGTATGGCTATGAGAAGCTTCTGGTATCAGAGTGTCCCCAGACTACTGGGATTTTTTTTTCTTCTTTTAAATGCTGCTGATCTTGGGAGTCTCCTGCTGCTCGTGTTGCCTCCCTGTTCAACTCAGTTCTACATCAGAAAAGGAAGAAAAACTTTGATCTTGACATGCCCTTCTTCTCTGTCCCCGTTTACAACTTCTGCAGGAAGGAAAAAAAAAACGTGATCAAGTGCATCTATGGGGGTGTCAGTCCTCTCAGGAAAGAACAGACACTTTTATCAGATGTCTTTGGAAAACCTTAAATGCCCAGCTGAAGTCCCAAGTCGAACAGTCAGAGGACAGAGCTGAGCACTGGCTTTATCATTATCCCCACACTGCTCTCAGGATAACCTGCACACGTTTAAAAGTGCCCTTTCCCAAAGTGGGGTGGATTTAGGCCATTACTTGTTGTGCCTTCTTTAACTGCAGGATCAGCAGGGACCTCTGGTAATGACCACTGATGCAGCAATCAGTGTCCAGGCAGCAGCTGCGCTTTCACAGCTCAATCTATAACATCTTTGGGGAAGGACAATCCACGGCCCTAATTGTTTGACTTGGCCTTCACCATCCATGGGTTTAAAGGTGTCTTATCCCTTGGATCTTAACTCTGTCTGCTTAAATCTGTAGGGTCTATTTTCCTCATTAGTTGTGCGCACATTTTCACAGCCCAAGAAGACCTCTGGTTGAAATGAAGGTAGTTCCAGTTTTGTGTAATCTGATTCGTTGCCCGGTTCCCCTCGCCAGCTTCAGAAGTAAAATTATTTTGTGGCTTAAGAGCCTTGCGTATAACTTAAAATGAGGAGCAACCATATTAGCATCAGATAACTCAGTATTAATACATAGTTTTATGGGGGGTTGGAACTAGATGATCTTTTAGGTCCCTTCCTACCCAAACCATTCTATGATTCAATGAATTTCAAACTGTCAAACTTGAAAAATGCTGTTTTGTTTACTTCACATGGTGCTGTAGGTTCTGGGGACCATGGAGCATTTCCTCTGTGGTTTGCAGCTTACAAGGAAGAGATTGGTGGTTCTGCAGGAGCTCCATTAAAGGCTCTCCAGTGCCTTACCTGACCTTTTACTAGTGCATGGTGAGTCAGGGGGAGTGTGGCTTTCATATGGCCCCCACTCCTCCAGTGAGAGGACTGTTATCATGAAACCTCAAGGGGAGCCAGCAGGACTATTTGCTGCTCTGGGGGAAGCAGATACCTCAGCTCCTCCAGGGTGCATTGGGAGCATTGGGAGTGTAAGTCAGCTGCAGAAGAAAATGGTTTTTTAAACATTTTGCATCATTGTAGGACAGTTATTAAACTAACCTTTTTTTTTTTTTTAAATAAGCTGAAGTCAATGAGAAAGGAAAAAAAAAAAGGAAGTAGAGCTTTCAAAACTCTATTTCCTACATGATCTTTCATCCCTCAGCCATACCAAATGGTCCTGTAATTTATGAGAATAGGGCAATACCATTTAGTGTTACAATGCTATTTAATATGTGTTCTGTGTGCCAGCAGACAGGCCTGGAGTGTTGGTGTATACTTAGTAAGTGTAGTTGACCAAACTTGTATGCCATTTCTTCATATTTCTTTCATGTTAAAAAAAGTGGGAGATAAGTGCCACTTCAGAATGCACAAGTATCATCTTTTAAGTGAGTTTAATGTAGTATTTGCAATTGCAAATACTAAGGCTGCATTTCCCCCCTTCCTCTGAATGTCTGAAAATCTCATTAACGTTAATGTATGGGGAAGAAGTGCTTAGCCTGTTGATGCAGGAATGAAATCAGGAGCAATGCACAGCTCTGCAAAGATTCATCTGCATATTAGGGTCTGAAGCAACTGTTAGATTACAAAATCTGACCTTTTATCTAGTACAATCCATAGAATCTTATCCACTTAATTTGGTATGTATCGCAAGAATAGTGTCAGAAGAGCAAATACAGTGCATTAACATATTGTAATGTAGCAGTATATTCAGTCATTTCTTATTTTTTTACTCTAAAACCAGAGGCAAACAGCAATACAGTGGTGTATAACATTGATGAAAATCTTCAGGAGGAGAGATTTAAGCATTTTTTCTGTCTGCAGAGGACAATTCCTATGTCTGTGTGTCTGCATAGGGTTTTGGTTATTTCTTTGAAAATTATTCACTGGTAATTTTAACCAGTACAGAACTTACCATTAGTTCTGTTTCTCTCTGAGGACAACATAAATTGAAATAGGGATTTTTTTTTTTTAACAGAAAAAGTAATTTTCTTGAAAAACCTGTGTGGTCTTGACAACTGCTTTCTAACATCCTATTTTGGAAACTCCCTGCCAGTCAGTTTTCCTAGGAAACATGCAGCACATTTCACATCTGGCTTCTCAACTCTTTGACTACAACACAAAACTGCCCTTGAAGTGCACCTGGGAGGTATTCAAGGGGATACCACACACGCACAAAAGACGAGCCAAGCTGTCTAAACGAGCTGCACTGGGCTATTGCATGTTTTAACCATTAGCCAGCATTTTATGGAACAAAGGAGCCAAAGAGATGAGATGAGGAAGGTATCAAGGAATTCAGAGGAGAAGTGGTAGGTGGCTCTGTACAAACTGCACGGTTTCTACGCTTGGCACATAAATGCTGTCCTGAAGAAAAATCCTGCTGCCCAAGTTTGAGGTGCACCAGTTCCCTTGGTGTTGCCCATCCCACAAGAACATTTTTCTGCAACCCACCACAGCTCAGAGGGAGGGAGAGTCTGCTGCTCACAGGTTCTAAAAGCTTTTGCTGTCCCTTGGGACAGTGAAGCTTGGGCTCTTAGGGCTTGTCTGTAACAATACAATTTCCATCTCCTTTCCTGCCAAAGCTCAGAAATCCTACAGCTGGCTTGGTCCCGTCTTGGGGTTTGGTTTGGGTTTTGCTTTTGGATCTTGTTCTTTGAGTTTTGTTGTTGTTGTTGTTTTTTAAATATGAACCATGGCTAACTACTGGCATGGAAAGCAGACATTTGATCTATGACTGCAGGGACTGGAAGTTCAGTAGGAACCTCCAAGCTGGTGCAAAACCATTTGCCAAGGGTATTACACTGGCAAGGGGGAAGACCTCTATGTCCAAAGGCACCCCCATAGCAGATATATACAGTCCTGTGATTCATGTCAGCCTAACTAGAAGGTAACAGAAAAATATTTTTTAAAGACTCAGTGTAAGGAAGAAATCTCAGACCTCCTTGCTGATCAAACAAGGTCAGTACTTGCCTTAATACTTGGCTTTGAGGCTAAACTAATTATTGAGCAAAAGGCTCTTTGAAATCCACAGGTAAGTGGTGTTAAGTAAATGTAAATAACATTACCAAAATGTTCCTCCTGTTGTTTTGGTGCAAGTTATTCAGAAGATGTAAAAGGCGTTTGTAGCAGTGAGGGTAGGGCTGCATGGCAAAACCCCGTGCCATGCAGAGACACCTCAGGTGGCTCTGAATGACCAAACACAGGAGCCCTGTGTCAGCATGGTCCTTTGCTTGGGCTAATACTCCCCATTTCCCAGAGGAGCTTATTACCTGCCATAGCAGAAACTCTTGCTGTTGACACAGTCTGGACAGGTGGCAGCTGGTGGCGAGACAGTGGCCATCTCTGTGCAGCTGCCACGTAGGTCCCCCCTGTGACAGATTCCAACCTCTCCAACACATCCAGTAGCAGTAATAGCAGAAAGTGAGGGTGCTATTAACAAACTAATAAAGGGCTGTGGTTGAACACAGGGCCACACGCTCTTTCCTTGTCTGTCAAAATGGCTTTATCAGAGACACAAACTGATAGTTAGTATTCTCCCTGGTCTTCAAGAAATCGTATCCGAGTCAATGTTTCCCTTAGGGAGTAGCAGGAATCTCCTTGGGCTTTCTTTCTTCTGCCAAAGTCATAGCCAAGAAACAAGCTGTGATTTTTAAATTCTCTACTGTAAAAGGCATCAGCAACAAGAGCACATCCTGTTTTCATTTTGACAAATTTTCCAACTGTGTTGTTGTCCTAGCCCATCTCAACAGCCAAAAGTCAGGTAGGGTCCAGCACTGCTGTAGCTGTGGGTGGACCGCAGGGTGGAGGGGCAACCTGTTTATCCAGGACTAAGGAAAGCAGTGACCCCATCTCAGGAAGAGAGTGTATTACACCACAGCCATCACACACCAGGCTGTGTGATGGCTTGTGGTCCTTTGTGTTGGCTTTGAGGTGAAGCCCAGGGCACTTTGTGAACAGCATTTAAGCAGCATGGATCTAGAAGTTTGGAGAGAAAAAGAGTTTACCTTCTAGCACAAGAACAATTTTACTTACCCACAGAATGAACTGGTCAGTACAGCAGTAATCGACTTTTCTACGAATTTATATAATAAACTAAAAGGCAGTAAGGGTTTCCCAGCTGCCTGACTTACTGGTGCCTGTGCTTTCTTTGCAGTTGTCCAACACAGCAATTCTTCATCAGATTAGACGAGACCAAGTGACAGACACGTGCCGAGCAAATAGCGTTTCTAGCAGGAAGCGCCGTGTGCTGACACCCAATGATCTCAAACACCTTGTCGTGGATGAAGATCATGAAATGATCTATTGCTATGTTCCCAAAGTGGCCTGCACAAACTGGAAGAGAGTCATGATGGTTTTGACGGGAAGGGGCAAGTACAGCGATCCAATGGAAATCCCTGCCAATGAAGCCCACGTGTCTTCAAACCTGAAGACCCTCAACCAGTACAGCATCCCAGAGATCAATCACCGCTTGAAAAACTACATGAAATTCCTCTTTGTCCGTGAGCCTTTCGAAAGACTGGTGTCAGCCTACAGGAACAAGTTCACCCAGAAGTACAATACTTCCTTCCACAAGCGATACGGCACCAAAATTGTGAGGCGGCAGAGGAAAAACGCAACCCAGGAAGCTCTGCGTAAAGGCGATGATGTGAAATTTGAAGAGTTTGTGGCGTATCTCATCGACCCGCACACCCAAAGAGAAGAGCCCTTCAACGAGCACTGGCAGACTGTGTACTCCCTCTGCCACCCCTGCCACATCCACTACGACCTCATAGGAAAATACGAAACGCTCGAAGAGGATTCAAACTACATCCTCCAGCTGGCGGGAGTAGGCAGCTACCTGAAGTTCCCCACCTATGCAAAGTCTACGAGAACTACTGACGAAATGACCACAGAGTTCTTCCAGAACATCAGCTCTGAGCACCAATCGCAGCTGTATGAAGTCTACAAACTTGATTTTTTAATGTTCAATTACTCAGTGCCAAGCTACCTGAAATTGGAATGAGGGATGGGTTGGGGGGAGAGAAGGGAGAGAAAGCCTGTTTTATTTAAGATTTTTATTTGTCATAATAAATATGGAGAATGGGTTATTTTGTAAATTAATATTTTGTTTTTTTGAATGATGCTGCGAGCAGCACAGTCAAAATTATTTAAATCAACTGTAAGAAAGGACAGCTCTCTTTGCAGGGTAACAGGATTGTGACGAACTAGCTGTAGAAATGAATAGTACTGCTACACTGTTTAAAAAACATGTTAATTGTGTTCTGGTGAATTTCATTGGTCTTGCATTCCTCCAATTCTAATTAATGTTATTTATACTTATTTAAAATATGGTCTCTTGGTAGGTGTCACTTCAGTAGCAGAGATAACATTTGGACAAAAGGAGTCTGGTTTTGTGTTTTCCTCAGTTGAGCTTGTCTCCAGGTAATATTCTTCCATTAGCTGTTGATGCAGGTGAATACAGGAATGGTTATTGATACCACATGCTTTGAGAAGAGCAGTGGAAATAAGTTCTTCAGAAAGAGATATTGTGCTCAAGCATACTAAAGAAAAAAAAAATCTCTCTTTCTAGCCCTGAAAAGGAAAAGTAAAACAGATTTTGCTAGATTCATCGTATCTAAAACCCATGACTGAAAACATGTGAATGTATTCTTTGGGAAGGGAAACCATGATCTTTTTATACATCTGGACTTAATGAATTTATCAAGAATATGACCAGTCCCATTGTCTCTTATAGTGAAGCCTGCCAGCCCAAAGGAATGCAGATTTGATGCAGGATTGTCCATCAGGAAAAATCAGCATGTTGAAAGTGAATGTAGAGATTTTTGAATGCCCAAAGCAATTGGCATTGACTTAATTGATATCCAGGATGGGGCTGGCAGGAACTCTGTCTGCTGCAAGTCATGCCTCCCTAAATTGATCTTAAGATGGACAATGAGAATTGGCTCAAAGGACACCAGTCATACGTTCCTATAAAGGATGTAGGCGTGCCGTCTGAAAAGTCAGAAAGTTGTCTTCATGTTGACCTCTAAGCATGCAAGGCAATAAAAAAGGTCTCATCTTTTTCCCAGGGGGAAGAGGGAGTCGTATTTTTTTAGTTGATGCCTAAATACCATTGACAGGGATGTTTCTAGTTTCCAGTGGGTTAGTATTTCATCTAAGGGAGCTCTAGTGTGACACTGTGACCTTTTTGCTTAAGGTGGGTGTCTCAGTAGCAATTCTTTTGTGTATAACAGCTTGTTGGGATGGCAGATTGTACTAGTCGTAGCATAGCAAGCAGTTGTTTTTGACAAGCAGGCAGTAATCTATTCATAGCAAATAAATAATGAAAAATGAAATTTCAATGTGGTTCTATTAGCGAGCTGAGTGGGCAGAAGTACAGGCTTCTCCAGATGTTTCCTTTAATTCAGTGCAGGTGAGGTGTATGGTCAAGCAGGCGGTGGGTGCCTGCGTGGAGAATGGTCTGTGGCCACCCCAAGCTGTCCCGTCGTGGGGCCGCAGCACTGGCAGCCAGTTGATGGGCAAAAGGAGGCCAAGGCTCGAATCAAAGCACTTCTGGGAACCTAAACTCTGTTGTAAAGTTGATTGATGGTTAAGATGGGGTTTTATCTTACCTCCATGTCAATCTTACAGTTAAACCAAACCCTTCCAAAAATCAGTGAAGACTGAAATAAACACAGCTGAAGGCAGAGCTGTTTTAACTGTATCAGAGCCAGATCCTGAAAATGTTGTATTGTGTAGCAGTTGATAATATCCACTGAATTACATTAGTCTCCAGGACACATATGTGGTTAAAGAAGAAAAATAGGTTCCATCTTACTTCATAAAAATAAATCGCTGAATAAATCTCAGCAAAGAACAAATTAAGGTAACAAACGGCAGCTGAAAGTCCTTTCATGATGGGATTTGGTCTTAGCCAGGATTTGGGTCATTACTTTTTTTTATCATACCCTACAAATAAATCTCTCATCCGTTCCGGAACAGCCACAGTTTTCATAGCCCAGGTCCTGTTTATAGCCCAGAGCACTGACCCAGTGGCTGATGAGGAACTGGCTGTCTGTGCCTGACAGCTCTGAATTCCTGCAAGATTGTTGATCCCTGGCTGGTGTTTTACTTGAAAGCAGTTTTGTCTCATTTAGAGTATGTGGAGCTGTTGCAAGTGCCTATCACAGTGTGCCCCGGCTTTCTTTTGTTTGTAATTCAATGGTTATACATTTATTTAAAAAAATAAATAAATAAAATCTGTCTGAAGGTAGATTCCCCCTCATCCCCCTAAATATTTCCTGCAAGCTGTTTGTGTGCTTGTTTGGTCTTGTGTCCAACAGGGTTCATATTTTGGTCCAATTTTCTCTCCAGTTAGCTGTTTATCCCTCTAACAGAATGTGATGTGAATTCTTTCATTTAAGAAAAATGTTGCTTCAGAAAGGAAATATTTTAAGAATGGGGAGTACTTCCCCCTTTCTTTTTGTACTTTTCTCTGTCATCATTACGTTTTTGTCTGTTCTGAAATATTCTCTTTAGTTTCACTGCTTTGAAGACACAAAACCTGTATTTGACAGGTATGACAGAAAAGCTTTAGGTGAAAAACACGTTCAGGAGATCTGAGGGGTTAGCACTGCTCCAGCAGGGATTTTTACCAGCAGCTTTGAGTTTGAATACCAAAACTCTGCCTCCCTGCAGAGGGCTGCCCTAGAGGCAGATGCTTAGCACTGAGTTGGCGCTTTTGTGGACTTCAGTGTGTTCTTAAAAGTTAAAAACCTTGATTCCAAACTACTACACACTCTCTATAACACTTAGTGTGTTATATCTGTTTTGGGATGCTGTGGGTGGGCTGCGGATCTGTGTTTAAGATGAACAGCTGACATGCTGGATACGGTCGTGTGTCCTGTGCAATGACCACAAAGCCCTCAGCAGGTCACAGGAGGACCACAAATGTTAAGGAATAGCCTTTTTTTTTTTTGTCTACTGGGTGTATTGTTTTGACTGAGCCAAAAACTCTCTCTTTGCACCCATACAAAAGGATGTTCAGGATCACTCCTCATTATCTCAGTGAACTGGCGGTCACCAGCTGCCAGGGAATCAGGTTGGTTTTCTCCTCTTCACTGGGTTTTCCAGATGGAGGAGAAGAGGGATTGATCTACTCATGGTTTCAATTCTGCTGTGGCCACAGCTGGTCCTGGGAGACAAACAGGCAAAATTGCAGCCACAGTAAAATTCAAAACACAGACGTGTCCGTGGGGCCACGAGGGCCACCCGGTGAGCTGCTGGTTTAGAAGGGTGTTAGTTAGTTATGGTCAAGCAGTGGAGAGCTCAGGGAGGAGCCCGCGGGGAAGGTCCTGCTCCCCACCTCTGTCCCCAGCCCCCTCAAAGCCACTGCACTCAAGGAGCAGTGACCCCCTTCTCTGGGCAGCTGGTGCCTCCCCATCGTTTGGCAGGGCCAGCACTGAGCCCAGCAGCTCCTTACCTAGAACAAAACCCACAGCCAAGGGTCCGTTCCCCCTCAGTGGCCCCAAGCACTTTAACCTGGAGCCCAGGCTGGATTGGGCCCATCTGAACATGGTGGTGACTCCTGGGCAGTGGGAGGTCCCCCCCAAACCTGACTTGATCCATGCTTCAGCCTCTTCATAAACCATGTCCATTATCACAGGAACATGCAAACTGCCTGAACCATGCGCTTTGTAAGATAAGTGAAATAAATAATCCACAGGCAGAAGTGCTTTTAGAAATAAGTTGACCCCAGATGTTTTAGGGTTTCACTGTAGTCTGCTGCACTTTTCAGGTACAAAAAGGGACTGTCCTTACTATTACTCTTGTTACAGAGAGTGTTATTTTCTTACATGCATGCACAATAAAATGTGTACGAATAATTTAACATCGATGTGGGGTTGGATTTTTTTTTAACCTATTTGTATGCAGTAGAAGGCTTGTTGTAGAGAAGTATCTCCTCATACCTAAATATACTGTTAATAAAGAAAAAAGCTAAATTATACATTGCCAACACAAGTGTGAACTGCTCATGAATCTTTCCTTAAAAAAGCCATTCAAGCCTGATTATTTTTCTAAGTAACTTCAATTAAATTGAAGAAAGAAAGTTTATCTCTGAGTGCTTTATTTCTGGCTCACGCTTTCCGAGTGGATTTTTCAGGGTGGGATTTTTGTCTGCCTAGCTTTGCTTTCTCCCAAGGGTTATTGTGGCAGGACAAGCAGAAAACTCAAAATTATCTATTGCTATGGAGCAGGAAATCTAAAGTTCTGTAACAACATCATTCCTGCTCTTTTCAAGCTCCAAGACAGAAAGGATGAGGGCTGTCAGTTTAAGACCAGTCTCATGCCAAGAAATATTGCCCTCTCAAGCAAGGGTGTTTTAGAGTCATTCAGATGACATAAGCTCCAGTTATCTGATGAGCTTTAAGCACATGCTTGCCTACCTTCATGTGAATTTGCTAACAGTGGCTTTGTTTCCAACATCTCCAACAGTCCCCCAAAGCTGTGTGGTCTTGTTTGTGGCTTTCACTGAGGCCACGTCTAACCCCAAAGCAGAAACTTCCAACTGGGCTCTGAAATACTTGGTGACGAAGTAAGCATTGTAACTTACAGTAGGGAAAAGCCTGCATTTAAATAGCTGCTCACCATTGTGACTGTGTTGTTGGAAAGGCCCTTGGAGGTCATCTGGGCCACCCTACTGCTGAAGGCTACCAAGACTAGTTTGGCCATGGATTTGAAACCAAGGCTTCAATAGCTCTGGGGATGGAGGGCTCAGTGCCTTTCTGGGCGAGCTGTTCCAGTGCCATTACTACCCACCCAGCAGAGGTGTTTTTTCCCACTGGCCATTGAGACTCTTAGCCTTTAATTTAGGTCCGTCATCTGTCACTTCTGGAAGAAGAGTTTGGATTCATTTTCCTCTAAGTTCTCTTCAAGTAGTTGTAGATGGCTATTAGATTCTTAGTTGGCCATGCCATCATCAGCCTAGGGAAGGCCAGAGGCCTCAGCATCTCCTTGTGGCTGATATGCCTTAGGTCACTTAACATCTTGGTATCCTATCACTGTGACCTCTCCAGCATCTTAACATCCCTCTTGAATTAAGGAGGGCCCCAAAACTGGATGCCATATTCTGGAGAGAGCACTGCCAGTGGCAAACAGACTATTTAAACTGCCAGTCCTACTCTTCACAAGCCAAATATTATTTGCAATGAGAGCAGAGACAAACAGCAGATAGGCAATCTGCTGAGTAGGTGTCATAGCACGTGGTGGGGCACTGGCTATCTTTAGAACTCAACCCTGTTCCTACTTAAGTGCCCCACCACCTTGCACTCGCTAGTTAACAAGCAGAACTGCAGCATAGTTCCCTGCAACCACCGCCTGGCTGTGCGGCATTAAGACCGCAACCTTCACATTTCTAGACATCGGTGATTTGTTTCCTCTACAATCTCAGTCAGAGAGGGAGGTAGATAATTAAGGTGGTCTCAAGAAGGACTTGATATAAGCGAGTGATTAGCTTGGCTCCAGCCACTGTGCTGATTGCCTCCCTTGGCAGGGTGTGGATCACACACACAGGCTTTAAAGTGACACCGTCCTTTTCTGGCAGTACCTGGGT